GAAAGATATCTGGATTAAAAGGTTGCTTTTTCTTTGCACAGCTTGAAAGAAAGGCGAAATGAATGGGCTGTGATTTTAGCAGAGGTTGAGGTCAATAATTTGTACGGCCCTCGTAGGATTTTGTAAACATTGAAATGGCCCTTGAGGAAAAAGGTTCCCCACCCCTGCTTTAAACAAAGTCTCCTCCATGTTAAAATACATGTTCATACTCACCCTGAACCCCTTTGACTTTCAGCTCACATGGACCATCATGCCTTTGAAGGAGGACGATCAAGACATTGAACGAATGTAACGCACTTTTTTTATTTTCACCTGAACTCTGTACCTGCCTTAGTGTAAAGGCACTGTCCACAACCTAATCAAGGGTATTATTTTGCATTCAACAAGGAAATAGTTATCAATATATTTTTATAACTTTTAATGACTGATGCCTTGTTTCATGTTGATCCTAACATCTGAACTCTTTAGAGACTGTTTATCCAGCGTAATAACTTGTTAGTTCATTCTGATTTCCTCCTTAACTGCACTGTCATGGTCCTGTTCTCTGCACGGCATATAGACCTCACAGTTCATCCCTGGTGTAGAGTGGTGCAGGAATGAGTCCTCAAACCAGGAAATGGGTCAGCAGTTTCCCACTTCCAGTGCCCTTAGTCTCTAAATACACTTTTAGCCACCTTTAGCTTAGCGGTGGTGATGCGCCGCCTGTCTGTGGCTAGGCTAACGTTAGCTTTTTATTTCTGCTGATTGCATTTACGCTTTAAATTAATTAATGTTATTTTAATATGTGGAGATTATCGTGCTGAAAATAACATGTACGTATCATAATCATGTTTGGCGAAGAAAAAAAAGCGTATTATTTGAAATTTTACGAGAAAATCCCATTGCTTTTAGTCGAGGAAGCCCTTCTGATGCTAACTTCAGTGCTAGCATACACACACACATCATTGCTGCACCACTCTATAGAAGTAGGAGATACATACTTAGTCTTTTTACAATATTTTAAAGTATATTTTTACCAGATGAGCATGGCTCTACATAATGAGTTGTATCTGTTTATTACATAAGACATCTCAGTTCATATCATATTTAGTTAAATCAACAAATGTAAGTAGTTTGTATCTTAATAGTGTTTCATCGAGTTTGTCCCCATTTGATTGTTTGAAACTTTCATACATCAAATTTTAAAATCAGGGTAACTCTTGGAAGTATTGCACATGACTACCTATTCCAATCCCAGTGCCCCTCAGTTACTAAGCCTTCACAGAGGATCAGAACACATCTTGATATCGCCCCCCGAAGAAACTCAGATTTATCTAAAGAGCAAAACCCATCCTGAAAGGTGCCTCTTTGAATGTCCTCAGGCACGCCACGTTTGACATTTCTTTCAATACACGTGTTGAAAAGTAGACCCTGCGCTCTCCTGAACGGGGTCACGGTGTGTTTAGCGAAAGAGATACTGCACATTTTTTAAGCTCAAATAGTGAAGCTTGTCTGTACTTGCTGAGAGAAATGCAGCATTGTTGTTCAAGTAACATGAAGTATCCTCATATTTAGCAGGATATGTACATTATGTTAAATTCTGTCTAAAATATGGTAAGTTTCA